TGGGTTCAAATCCTGGCTCAGCCAGTTATTAGCTGAGTAAGCTTGGGCAAGTCACTAAGTCTCCGAGGCCTGGGTTTCCTCCTAAAATGGAGAGGACAATGGTGCCCACCTCAGAGTCCACATGAAGACTCGGCAGAACGGGCATAGACAGCCACACAATGTGGCTTGACACATGGCAAGCACAAAGTACACGCTGGCTTCCAGGCTGACCATCACTGCTTACCGAGCCTGCCAGGTCTGCAGCAGCCAGAAGGGATACAGCCCAATCCGGTGCAGCTGCAGCCATCAGCAGGCTTGCAGGCCCAGTGCTGCCTCCAGGGGCCTGTCTCCTGCTCACTGGCTCTGTGCCAAGCCCCGAGGTAATTGTTTAACACAGGTAAACTCACCAATGCAGGACCCCACCATGCAGGAGAAAAGGAGGCACTAAAAAGTGAAATCTCCAAACCCACATGGACGCGGGGCCCTGGCAGGCCAGCAAGAGTCCCCGCACTGCTTTGCAGGATGTGCTACTACCTGGTTGATTTCTCTGCGGCTGACCGGCTCCCTGTGCGCTGGGCGCTTCCTGCCTGGAACACCATTCACTCACGCTGCTCAGTCCCTGGCCTCTCCTGTCTCCACCCCTCCCCAGACCCTGCTTCCCTTTGTGCTACCCCCCACGCCCCACCTTGGCGGTCTTGATGATCTCGGTGAAGTTGTCCATGATGGACTTGATGTCATCCTTCAGCCGCTTGTTGTAAGACTGCAACAGTGTCTCCTTGCTCTGGGGCAGGGCTCTCTGCTGGGCCATGGCAGAACCTCAGGTGGCGCAGGGGCGGAGACCTGGACCTAGAGTGCAGGACAGACCCCTGAGTGCAGGCAGAGCCCTCAGCCACCCTCTATGCCCCAAGCTTAGCAGAACACCCAGATTTCCGGGGATTCCCTTTCTGCCAAATAAAGTCAATCACTGAAACACAGATAAACTCATTCCATCAGCAGGCACCGCAGTGGGTGCTGGGACTCTCCTCGGGCCCCGCCTCTGCCAGAGCAAGCAAGCTAATCCTAGAACTCCTGGCCAGTCCTCCAAGCCCTGTCTAGGGCTCCAGTCCATACTTCGCGTCCAGGCCCACAGCGTGTCCCAGGAAGGCCTGCAAGCTCAACTGCAGCTCCCTGGCCCTGGCCCTGGCTCTGGCCTAACTTCTTAGCCCGCTGCCACTCCCGCCCTCCCATCTGAGGAGTCCTTCCAATCGGACCCCTCTGCACCGCCTGCGTCCACTCTGATTCCACTCCCACTTCGGCTCCTGACCTCATCTCTGCACTGCGCCCAGCTCCCTCCAGTTTCCACGCGGCAGGGAAAAGGTCCTAAAAAGCGGTCATTCTGGCAGGGCGCGTGGTGGCTCACACCTGGAATCCTAGCACTTTGGGAGGCCGAGGCTGGCGGATCACCT